CCTCGTGAGCCCACACCAGTGGTCTTTCTATTGCATGGCGCTTCGACGAGAAACAGCTACACCTCAGATTCAGTGGGCCATGATGAGACAGGCTGTTTTCGCCGCGCCACGGTTTGTGCTGCTGCCGTGAGCCTGTGGTTGTCGCTCGGTGTCGCTCTCTCCTCCTCCCCCCCTCGTGCTCTTTCGGTTGCTTGAGCTGGCGCCGTTACGGCGACCCCTCGCACTCTTCCCGCCCCCCGTGACCCCCAGTCGACGGTAAGATGCGTCTTGAGGGGCATTTCGTGAATTGAGTTCATTTTGTTCTGTGCATGTGCAACTGCGAGCGTGTCTTGCAGATGCGAACTGGCTGCCGATAGTGGCGGCTGTGTTCGCAAATTCGTGCCGTGCCGCATCCCGGACGCTGCGTCCGCTCCCTGACATTTGCCTTGGGGCCGCGAGCCAAAAAAAGGTATCCCCGCGAGGCAGGTTGTCCGTTTGGGGTCTGGCGCCACATCGGCGAGTCAATTTCGTGGCCATCCCATTTTTACCTTGCACAGTGATCCGCCCACTGATGTCTGGGTTCCTGCGCGAGTCATGTATTGGCCACTTGAATCCTGGTCATCTTGTCCAGTGCACGTGCCTGAGCTAGCAGTTCGTCAGCCACGTTTCTGTCTTAGCCAATTAGCCTCGCCCGTGGCCCGGACGTTGCCTTCGCCACATGACCGCTGTCTTCGTGGGCGCTGACCGAACAAATATCCCCACCAGCCCATCCAGAAACGATGTCCAGGCGAGTTGAGGTAATCTGGAAAACGCGGGAGCAAATGGGGGGACGGCCGAATCGTGCGACGGAGGGAGGAGGAGAAGGAAGAGGCTGGATGTATGGATGAGGTAATGGGGAGAAGGAGGACGAATAGGATGATGACTACGACGATGATGCTGATGATGGTGATGGTACTGATGATGATGATGCGGATGCTGGTGCTGATGCTGATGCTGTCGAGGATGATGTGATGATGATGATGATGATGATGGTGATGATGATAGTAATGATGACGATGATGATGAGGCTGTTGCTTTCGATTCTGATGAAGCTGATGATGATGATGATGATGATGATGATGATGATGAGGAGGAGGAGGAGGAGGAGGAGGAGGAGGGGGAGGAGGAGGAGGAAGAGGAGGAATGTAAGGAGTATCGGGAGTAGGGTGAGCAGGAGGAGGAGGGCAAGCAAGAGGGCCAGAGGTCTTTCGGATGCCTCTCGGAGCCTCTTGGGGTATCTCTTGCGCGCTTCTTGGTGGCCTCTAGGGACGTCTTGGGGGTCTCTTGGCGTGGCCGTCTTGGGTGCCTGTGGGGGGCCTCTTGGGGCAGCTTGGGATCCTCTTGGGGGCCTCCTGGGGGCCTCTTGGGGTCATCTTGGGGTCATCTTGGGACCTCTTGGGGCCTCCTGGGCGCCTCTTGGGGTCATCTTGGAGGCCATCGATCAAAGAAGAGGGGAGCTTATTTTAGTGTCGCCCCACCAAGAGGCCAAATTGGAGCCAACACCCTTGTAAAACTAATGATTTGGGCTTCCTCGCCGAGGCCGTCTTGGACGCTCTAACTACCCGCGACCGGCCCCGTCCAGGTCCAGGGGAGGGGATAAGGGGAGAGGTAAACCCCTCCCCGAAGAGGAAGAAGGGGGGTGGAAGAGGACACTCCCTAAACCACCTACGTCCAGAGGGCTGGTGGGATTTATAAGGAAAAGGAATAGAGAAGGAGGAGAAGAAAAAGGAGGAGGACGAGGAGGAGGAGGAAGAGGAGGAGGAAGGCGCAGCCCAGACATGCGATGTCCTGATTTTTCAATAGCCGTCGGAGACTCGGGCCGTTGAGGCACGCGACCCCCCCCTCGCATGGAGGAGGAGGAGGAGGAGGAGGACGAGGACGAGGACGAGGAGGAGGAGGAGGAGGAGGAAGAAGGGGGAGCCCAGACATGCGATGTCCAGATTTTTCAATGGCCGTCGGAGACTCGGGTCACTGAGACACGCGACCTTCCCCCCCCCGGATGATGATGATGATGATGAGGAGGAGGAGGAGGAAGAGGAGGAATGGGGAGCCCAGACATGCGATGTCCTGATTTTTCAATGGCCGTTGGAGACTCGGGCCGCTGAGGCACGCGCCCTTCCCCCGGAGGATGAGGAGGAGGGAGGAGGAAAAGGAGGAGGAGGAGAAAGAGGAGGAGGAGGAGGAGGAGGAGGAGAGGAGGAGGAGAGGGAGAAGACGAGGAGGAGGAGAAGGAGGAGAGGGGGAGGGAGGGAGAAGGAGGAGGAGGGGGAGGAGAATGAGGAGGAGGAGGAGGATGAGGAGAGGAGGAGGAGGGAGGGAGGAGGGGAGGGAGAGGAGGAGGAGAGGAGGAGGAGGAGGAGGAGGAGGAGGAGGAGGAGGAGGGGGAGGCGTGGAGGCGTGGAGACTGCCTCTCAAGGTCCGGGAGGCCCTTCTCGCTCAGGCGATCGCAAGCATGGATCAATTTCCATGGGAAATCGCGGATTCCCGCCACCGAACGAGGCGGCACTGGCCGCATCTTGGGGAGGGCACCTCCCCCGATCCATGGATTTGGCGACCGCGCGCCAAATCCACGGATCGCTAACCCATGTTTGCGCGCCCCCGACTCAGGAGAGGAACGGGCGGGCTGGCCCGTGAGCAAGCCCAGGATTCTGATGTTCCAGCCTACTTTCGCCTCGACCACCAGAGAGAGCCTCGAGCATCGAATTGGTACCGAAGCTCGAGGGCTTTCGCGTGTCGGGCCCCTGGGAGACGCTCCCCCGACACTGTTCCGACGCTCTTTCGACACTCTTTGGACACTTTTCCGGGTGCTCGAACTTATCTCTGGGACGTGGTCCTGAAGCACGGTGGGAGCAGCATGAGAGCCCAGGGCCGCTGAGGCACGCGCCTTCCCCCCCCCTGGAGGAGGAGGAGGAGGAGGAGGAGGAGGAGGAGGAGGAGGAGGAGGAAGAAGAAACATAAGAGGAATCATACTTATAATAATCATAGTAATAAAACTAATGATAATAATAATAATACGAATAGCAATAATAATACTAATACTACTACTAATAATAATAATACGAATAATAATACGAATAATAATACTAATATCACTACTACTACTACTACTAATAATGCTAATCGTAATAATAATAATGATAATGATACTGATAATGAGAAGAAGAAGAATGATCATAATAATAATAATACTAATAATAATAATAATAATAATGATAATAATACTAATACTAATAATACTAATAATAATAATAATACTACTAATAATAATAAGACTAAGAAGAAGAAGAATAAGAAGAATAAGAAGAATAATAAGAAAAATAATCAGAATAATAAGAATAATAAGAAGAATAAGAAGAAGAGGAGGAGGAGGAGGAGGAGACGAGGAGGAGGGAGGAGGAGGAGGAGGGGGAGGAGGAGGAGGAGGAGACGTGGTCCTTAAGTACGGTGGGAGCAGCATAAGAGCCCAGGGCTTGGCGGGCCCCGACCCCGAGTGTGCCCGCGGGGCCAGCGGCCCACCGGGGCCCCAGCGCCAGGGAGGACGAGGCCGGGAGGCAGCCGGGGCCGAGCCAGGACACCGCAGTCTGGAGCTTGCCCCTCCCCGACAGCCCCGCTTCATAGGCTCATAGGTTTAAGTCGGGCCTGTCCCCCTAATTACAGGAGGAATATTCAAAAAGTCAAACAATAGTCTGGGGACGATTTCTCCCCATGTTCTGACTATTCGGGTGTATTTTGTGAGTATGTTTTTTGTTCTTCGCCCAGAATCCGCCTGTAGGAGGACATGCCCGACCCAATCATAGGTCCTCCCTCTTGCCCCAGAGCTTGGCGAAGCCCTCGAAGTCCTCCTCAGTGCTGGGCGTACCGCGCGGCCTGGCCGAGCTGCTCGATCGGCCAGCGATGGCGCACGAGGCGGTGCCGAGGCCCTCGAACGCGGGCTGGTCCTGCAAGCAGCGCACGCAGGCAACGCGATCTCCACCTTTGAAAGAGCGTGTTCTACCGCTGCTAGCGGAAAACCGGGGGGGGTCACTACCGGTTCGAACCCCTCCCCCCTCCCCCCCCCCCTCCGGAAAACCGGGGGGGGTCACTACCGGTTCGAACCCCTCAACCCCCCCCAGTTCATCATGAAAAGGGGGGGGGGTCACTACCGGTTCGAACCCCCCCCCCCCTCGAAAACCGAGGGGGGGTGCGGACAGTGGTGGGGACGGTGGTGGTGGGGACAGTGGTGAGGGGACAGCGGGACAGTGGTGGGGACAGTGGGACAGTGGTGGGGACGGTAGTGGTGGGGACAATGGTGAGGACAATGGTGGGAACAGTGGGGACAGTGGGACAGTGGTGGGGACGGTGGTGGTGGGGACAGTGGTGTGGGGACAGTGGGAATGTGGTGGAAACAGTAGGACAGTGGAGGGTACAGTGGTGGTGGGGACAGTGGTGAAGGCGGTGGCGAGGACGGCGGTGGGACAATGGGAAAGAGGTACAGTGGGGACAGTGGTAGGGACAGTGGGGACAGTGGTGGGAACGGTGGGGCAGCTCAGTGGTTCGAACTGGTAGTGACCCCCCCTCCGGTTTTCGAGGGGGGGGGGGGTTCGAACCAGTAGTGACCCCCCCGGTTTTCGAGCTCGAGGGGGGGGGGGGGAAGGGGTTAGGGGAGGGGGAGGGGTTTTGCCGGGAGAAGGGGGGGAAGGGGGGGGGAGGGGTTCCAGCAGGGGGGGGGGATTTTCGGAGGGGGGGGGGGAACCCCGGGTTCCCGAGGAAAAGGGCGGCAATTTTCCACAGTAAAGCGGCGGTGGATCACGCTCTCTCCCACCTTTCGAGTAGGAGATCGACTACAGAATTGGTTTGCCCCAGAATTGTTTTTTCTTGTCGAATCCACGGGCAATTCGTAGAACATTCGCAGGTCTACGAATGGTTGACGTATTTTTGTTGAAGAGTCGACGTGAAAATCAATTTTGGGGTAAATCAATTCCGTAGTCGATCCCCAGTCGAACCTTCATCCTCCAGCAACCTGCAGCACTCGCCGAGCGTGTGCTTCACTAGGTTTTCCACGTCGCTGTTGAAGCCAGGCTCCACCTCGGAGATGCTGCCGTCTCCCTCGTACTTCTCCTTGCCGGTGCCGTCCTCGACGTCCAGGGCCACAGGCTTCTCCTCGTAGACGCCGTTCTCACTCTCGAACTTCTCCTTGTCGGTGCCGGTCAATGCCGAACGTAGGGCCCTCGGCCACGTCGGCGGTGTCCACGTAGTAGTCCTCCTTGCTGCCGCTGATGCCGACCACCTTGTCGACGCACAGCCGCCATAGGGAGTGATGAGCTTCGCGAGCCTGCTCCGTCTTCTCGAAGGCCTCCCTGTTCAGCATGAGGGCGGCGTTGAAGGAGCCGACCGGGTCCTCATCCCGATGCCAGCTAGCCCAGCCGTTCGCTGGGTCCTCGCCATCCATGTTAGGGTCCATGCCGACGCCGCTGTAGATGTCGACGAGGTCGCTGCGCACGTGCACCTCCGCGATCTTCGGACACATCTGCAGTCCCTTGTCGACAAGGATGTCCGCCTTGTCGTTCAGTCCACCTCCCTTGGAAGACTGGAGCGAGATCGGCGTCCTTCCTGGGCGTCTTCTCCTTCATCCTGGGCTTGTCCTTTTGGTCCCGCTTCAGGCTCTGCAGCAGTTGGACGCCCGAGGCTTTGCCTTGGCATCGCTCGGACGTGCGCATTTTTCCTTGGCGAGAACCATCGAGGACCATCCTGGACCATCGAGCAAAAAAAAACACGCACGAAACCGACAAATGCACAGGACATGGACGTCCGAGCGACGGCAAGTTGCTGGCCCCGAGCCACTCCACCGGCATGTCCTGCCTCGGGATCGCCTCCACCACCGGCCTTGCCGAGAGCCCTGCCCTCGAAAGGGGAGATGCCGGCGGCTCCTCCCAGCGGCCTGGAGGCGGCGAGGGCGGCGACGCGTTTGAGCACGTGGCCTCCAGGATCCTGCCGTCCTCGATGGCCGGCAGCGGAGCCCTCGACGGCCTGACTGTCGACGGCTTGGGCTGCGGGCGAACCTTTTGCTGCGGGGGTCGAGACGGCGACCACCGCCGCCGAGACCGCCGCCGCGACCCTCGTCTCCACGAAGTTGAGGACCTCCGCGTTCCCAGCGTAGTGAGACAGGTTCCGTGGCTCCGCCGTCCTCCAGCGCGACTGCCGCCAGGCGGTCGAGTCGCGCCACGACAAGCAAGTTAGATCGTGCCAGCTCCTGGGGGCTGCGCCCCTTGCAAGTGCGCATCCAGAAGACCCCACCCCGCCAGGGCCGAAAGGGGCTTGGGGGGAGGGGGAGGAGGAGGAGGAGGAGGAGGAGGAGGAGGAGGAGGAGGAAATGGTAGAACAACAAAATAGTAGTATCAATGCTAGTAATAAAAAGTAATACTCGTACTACCAATATTAACAAGAGAAACAAGGATAACAGTAATACTAATACTATCAATGTTAAGAAACAGGCGAATATTGTTTTTGAAGAAGACTACGATTACGATGGTTACGATGATTCTGATACTGATGGTGATGATGATCTTAACGACGATGATGATGCTGATGATGATGCTGATGATGACGATGATGATGACGACGATGATAATGACGATGCTGATGATGTGATGATGATGATGCTGATGATGATGCTGATGATGATGCTGATGATGACGACGATTATAATGATGATGATGCTGATGATGTGATGATGATGATGATGATGATGATGATGATGATGATGATGATGATGATGATGATGATGATGATGATGATGATGATGATGATGATGATGATGATGCTGGTGATGCTGATGCTGCTGCTGTTGCTGCTGATGATGATGATGATGATGATGATGATGCTGATGCTGGTGATGCTGATGCTGCTGCTGTTGCTGATGATGATGATGCTGCTGCTGCTGATGATGATGATGATGATGATGAGGAGGAGGAGGATGAGGACGAGGATGAGGATGAGGATGAGGATGAGGATGAGGCAGGGATGGATGGATGGATGGAGGGACGGAGGGAGCGAGGGAGGCAGGGAGGGCGGGACGGTGGGGGCAGCGGCGGCGCTGCCTCGACTCCCTGCGCCCTCCTGGCGCTGTGCCCCGCGTTGCCCCGGCGGCAGGAACCAGCCGGAGAAGCGGTACGCGCTGAAGGCGCGCCTGCGCTCGCCAGGGCGGGGGGTGGGGGGAGTTGGAGGGCCAAGTCTATTCTCGGAGGCGACGATAAGGGCGAACAGCCTAGGGGGGAGCAATACATGTATTCAGGTGCGCCGATGATCCATGTCTTCGAAAAGGCTCCCGGGCGACTACGTGTAATGCCCGCCCCTGGGCTATTCGCCCCTATCGTCGCCGCCGAGCTTCTAGAAGACGAATATCTGGGGCCGATGACAAATACCGTTCTCACGTTCTAGCCGCAGCCGTCAATGGACACATCGGGTACCGCAGCCGTCTGTAGACGCATTCGGGGTCGATGCGTCTATAGGCAATGCGGCCGTTGCGTTCAGCGCAGGACAAGGTATAGCAGGTCCCACACATGGTACTCCAAGGGAGGAGCAACAGTTCTTTGACTTCGGATCCCCGTACTCTGCGCGTTTTTGCAGGTGTGGCGGGAATTTCCGCCCTGACTACCTTTCACACTCCTTCGATGCCGATTTTCGCCCTACTTCGCCGCCGCTGTTTCCGCATTTGTTTTTTGCGTAGATATGCGCTCTAGTTTTCCCAGGCGGAAGTGCCCACCCTACTTTTTCGCATCGTTTGGGGTGCATTTCCTGCACAAGCACGGCGGATCCGAAGTCAGGAGTCATGATAATGATACGTTCCAAGATTTTCAGGATTCTCAAGACCTCAACGGGCTGCAGAAATGAGGGCCGCCAAGTACTCTGGAGATCCTGACATTCCGAGCCAACCATGTCATGACATCGTTCTCGTCTTAGAGTTACGTCGGGCCTGTCCCTCTATAGGGGGAATATTCAAAAATAGTTGAACAATAGTCTGGGGACCATTTTTTGAGTATTTGGGGGCATCTTTTGAGCATTCTTTGAACATGCTTCATTTTTCGTCCAACATCCCCCTGTAGGGGGACAGGCCCGACCTGATCTTAGAGGTCCTCCCCTCCTCCCCAGACCCCCTCGCGTCGTGCAAGCGAACCTCGTCGGATCGTGCTTGTCACTCTCTCGGTCTCTGGGGCCCTCGCTGGGCCCCAGGGCCCCAGGGCCGTCAAACAGCGACTCGGGAATTTAGAGCCGGTTTAGGGGAATGGATCGAGCCTTCGTGGTCCAGGGGAATGGATCGAGCCTTCGTCAAGCAGAGGCGAAGCGTCCTGGCTCGCCTGAAGCCCTACCATACAATGTTCTAAGAACCTTTTGAGGTTTCCACGACGTGTTCTTAGAACATTTCCGGCGGAGTCTGTCTTGTTTTATCACATCGGGTTTATGTTCTAAGAACATTGTTTTTGTTCTTAGAGCATTGTTGGGTTCTAAGAACATTTTTGGATTAGGACTATAGGAATGCCGGGACGGTCGGTCCCTGCTCAATTTCGTGGATCGAGCCTTCGTGGGGCCCACGTTAGAAAGAATCGTGGCGTCGGCTGTCTGGGTCACCTCCTGCTCGTCTCTCAGAGGCCGCTGCCCTTGCCTCGCTTTCGCGCTTTGGGGACGTCTTGGGCCACGGCCGGATTCCCCTCGAAATCCTGATCAGCACGCATCCCAGGAATGGCCCAGGGAATAGCGGCACCTGCACCCTTTGGTTTCCCGATGTACTTCTCCTTCCGGCTTCTCCTTGCTCCTGCCCTCTCCCTCCTCAGCCTCCTCTTCCGCCTCCGCTTCTCCGCCTCCTCCTCCTCTTCCTCCGCCTCCTCCTCCGCCTCTTCCTCCTCCTCCTCCTCCTCCTCCTCCTCCCTCTTCCTCCTCCTCCTCCTCCTCCTCCTCCTCCTCCTCCTCCTCCTCCTCCCCCTCCTCCTCCTCCTCCCCTCCTCCTCCTCTCCTCCCCGCTCCGCCTCCCCTCCTCCTCCTCCTCCGCCTCCTCCTCCTCCCTCCGCCCTCCTCCTCCTCCTCCTCCTCCTCCTCCTCCTTCTCCTCCTCCTCCTCGGAAGCAACGCGTTTTTTTCTGTTCTTGGGGTCCCTGGGTCCTCCCCAGGCTCTGTGGCTGTCCAGAGACGACCGCCGGTCCTGGGGAAAACTCGCAGGGTCCTTCCTGCCGGCCGTGCTGCTCGCGGCCGCTCACAGTGCCTGAGCCCCCGCCTGGTTCCTTGGCATCGCCCCGACGTGTGCATCCTTTCTCGGCGAAGTTTATCGAGGAGCATCTTGGATAATCTGGCCAAAAAAGCACACACACACACAACACAACACACAACACACACAACACACAACACACACACACACACGAAGTCGACAAATGCACGGGAATGGACGTCCGAGCGATGGCGAGTTTCCAGCCCCTGCCCCCAGGAGTTGGTCCAGAAGGTCGGGGGCACGGCAAGTTCGTGTCGTGTCGACGCGGCGGCGACCCCCCCACACCTCCAACGCATGAGCAAATCAAGGCGGAGTTGTCTCACAGTTGTCGGCGTCTGGGCCGCCAAAAAAAAGATCCAGCGCGAACGCGCACACGAAACGCCGTGCCATAGTACGAGCGCACACGCACTGGTCTTAGCAGCGGCGCGCGTATGAATTGAAGACCCAGCGCTTGGTCGCGTTGTCGTCAGCTGATCCAGAGCCTCCTCCTCCTCCTCCTCGTCCTCCTCCTCCTCCTCCTCCTCCTCCTCCTCCTCCTCCTCCTCCTCCTCCTCCTATCCTTCTTCCTTATTAGAATATACTCCTACTCCCCCCTCAGGCCGGCAGATAGCGGGCGCATCCGGGTGGTCCCATCCTAACCTGTAAAAAACAATACAAAATCAACATGTTTCTTATTTTTTCCTCTCGACATGGACGTCCTGTCGTCCACGGCGATAATCCATTGCAAAAAATACCACAAAGAGCACACGCGCGCGTTCATGTCAGAATCCTACCGAACACCGTGTGTTTGCAAGCATTTCAACATAAAAACATCAAAAACCCAATGCTTTTTCACAAAAATTGTACAAATTTCCCGCCCGGGCTCTCTTGCTGAAATCATAGGAAAACCATAGGAATCTTAAGAATTCGGTCAAATCCAGCGATTTCACGTCATCGCGCGGTGCACTCGCGATGCTCTGTCATGCACCCAGGCCGCGAATCCTGTGCAAAAAATATACAAAGAGCACACTCGCGCGTTCATGTCAGAATCCTACCGAACACCGTGTGTTTGCAAGCGCTTCAACATAAAAACATAAAAAACCAATGCTTTTTCACAAAAATGCTTTGGGGTGTCCTGTCAGACCGTCGGGCTTCCTCCGGCCACCTCTGGCTTCCTGCGGTGTACCGGGCCATTCTCGACTCGTCTGGCAATGCGTGCGCGGCATTCAACACGCGCTCGCCAGTTCCCGTCGGCAACCGCCATCGCGGCCGCATCAGCTGTACCAAACCGGCTGGCCGGTGTGACTTCGGCCCCCAGTTGTGCCAGCTTTGCTTCTTAT